GAAGGCCTGGTGTTGGCTCTGGGCTTTCTCCTGGCACCAGCCTGACAAGTCTGCTTCTCTTACTAACCCATCTCCCCCTCATGTGTCCCCTAGGAGGTGACTTCTCAAAGCACTAACAGGCTCCGCTGGTTGAGTCTACAGCCGTCCCTCTTGTGATCATAGGACTCAGCAGCACTGACTATGTCCTCCCACACTCTCCCACCTGCCCCCAACTGGGGGTCCATGACTTGGCATTAGCATGTTCCAAATAAAGTGACACTGGCAACAAGTCACTGTGCAGCGTCTCTATCCTGGGGCTCAGAGGGAAGAGGGAGGGTGGGCCTGAGTCCTGGCCTGGACCCATGTGAGGACTTTGTCTCCTGGAGACCTCTGCACATCTGCTATGGACTCAAGATGACATTCCCCATGACTGGTGAACCTGGACAAATCATTCCCATATCTGAGCCTCAGTTCCATCTGTAGCAGGACAGGGTTGAATGGAGCCTGAAGACCTCCCGTATTAGACGTCACCAGTGTCCCAGGTCATATTCCTCCACCCAATGTGATTTCAGCTGTGGAGGACAGTCTGCTACATGTGGGCTGATGTCTGCTTCTCCCTCTCCTTTTTACAACCTCCTTTTTTACAACACCACTCTGCCCACCTCCCAGTTGCTTTCCTTGTTTTATTCACCCCAAAGTCCTATCCTACCCTGTGAAGCCAGAGATAGCAGCTAGCTAGAAGCCACACTATTGAGCTAAGTATTGGGGACAAAAATCGAAAGAGACCCCCTGTGCTGCAAGAGACTAGCTCATCCTGTTGCATGTCCCCATGGTCTGCATTCCTCTTCAGGAGACCAAGACTCCCCATTTGTCCCTCGACACCACCACCTCTCATGACATCCCTCTTGTAAATCCCACAGTCTCACCTGATCCCCCCCACACTGCCTCTCCCTCCCAGATACCCACTGGGGTCTCTGAGACTCCGCATCTGTCTTCCGTAGACTCTGCTCCATCATCCCCATCTCCAAAGGCTTCTTCCACCATCATGTCATGACTGACACTAGCTTGCCCATCCCTTGAAGCCTTTACCTGGAAGCTGAGACTTCATCCCCTCTGCAGGCCAGGAAAAGAGATACTTGTCTTCTGTGATGTTCATGTTTATTGTTTCTGTTGGGCCAGTTCTCCCTATTCCTCCTGCAAAGAGCCCTCTTCCTGGGTTGTCTGAGCCACTCTGTCGTGACACCACCCTCCCTGACTCCCAACTGCCACCCTGGTCACTCCCTATCATCCATAGAAGAATTTAACTCATGGCCCAGCATTCCTTTCCACCAATTTTCAGTGTCCATGTGGATACTCTACTCAAAATTCTGGTCTCACATTCTTTGCCTGCTCACCTACAATGACCTTCTTCACTCTGTCTTGGGAATCCACTCCCACGACTAGACCATTTTCAAAACCTCACAGATATTTACTTACTAATCATGACTTCCCATCCCTCCAGCTGACTTGCTCTAGTACTCCACTGCTATAATTTATGACTGCTTTTGTGATTTCAATTTCATTGACCCCACCACTTTCTCACTTTTTCATTAGCCTCCTATCTTCCCTCGTGACGCAGCTTAGATTCATGGTCTATATAGTGATTCTCAACATCAACTGCACATTAGAAGCACACGACATGAGGAGCTCTTTAAAAATATCAATGCCAGCTGGGCATGGTGGCTCACGCCTGTAATCCTAGCACTTTGGGAGGCAGGTGGATCACTTGAGCCCAGAAGTTTGAGACCAGCCTGGGCAACATAGTGAGATCCCAGCCCTACAAAAAGTAAAAAAACAACTAGCCAGGTGTGGTGGCACACTCCTGTAGTCCTAGCTACTCGGAAGGGTGAGGTGGGAGGATCCCTTAAGCCTGGGAGGTCAAGACTGCAGTGAGCCAAGATCACGCTGCACTCCAGTCTGGGTGACAGAGTGAGACCCTGTCTCTTAAAAAAAAAAAAAAAAAATTAAACAAATTTGAAAAATAAGTGCCCATGCCCCATCGTAGGCCTATTAAATCAGGATATTTGAAAGGTCCATGGGTGACTCCAATGTGCAGCTGGAATTGGGAATCACTTTCCTACCATTATAATTACTACAGTGCAAGTACTGTTCGCTCCCTTGCTTTTCTGTGCCTCCTTCATACCCACCTGGCATGGCCGGGCGCGGTGGCTCACACCTATTATACCAGCACTTTGGGAGGCTGAGGCAGGCAGATTAAGAGGTCAGGAGATCGAGACCATACTGGCTAACATGGTGAAACCCCATCTCTACTAAAAATACAAAAATTTAGCCGGGCGCGGCGGTGGGCGCCTGTAGTCCCAGCTACTCGGGAGGCTGAGGCAGGAGAATGGCATGAACCCGGGAGGCAGAGCTTGCAGTGAGCCGAGATCGCGGCACTGCACTCCAGCCTGGGCAACAGAGCGAGACTCCGTCTCAAAAAAAAAAACAAAAAAACAAAAAAACAAAAAAAAACATACCCACCTGGCAATACTCCAAGCCAGGATGAAGCCAAATATCTGCCCAGCTTTCTGCTTCTAAACAGAATTTCACAGCTAGGCTTTTTTTAACCTTAAATTTGCGATCATAAACTTCAAATTGGCCTCTAATTCAAGGTTTGAGGTAAGCTGTATTTCCCATTCTCCAAGATGACTTGGTATACCTTCTATTCCCCCACTTCATTTTCATGAGATGATCTTGTCTCAAAAAGACATCATCGGATGGAAATTCCATCAGTAAATCTACAAACAAATGTACATCTACTCCATCTTCTTCTTCCCTCCTGGCATAATCAAAAGTGTTCCTACCCGGGCCAGACGCAGTGGTTCACGCCTGTAATCCCAGCACTTTGGGAGGCCAGTGCAGGTGAATCACTTGAGGTCAGGAGTTCAAGACCAGCCTGGCCAACATGGTGAAATCCTATCTCTACTGAAAATACAGAAATTAGCAGGGTGTGGTGGTGCACGCCTGTAGTCCCAGCTACTCAGGAGGCTGATGCAGGGGAATTGTTTGAACCTGGGAGGCAGAGGTTGCAGTGAGCCAAGATTGTGCCACTGCACTCCAACCTGGGCGACAGAGCGAGACTCCATCTCAAAAAAAAAGAGAAAAAAAGAAGTGTTCTTACCCCTAGGAAGGGTCCTTGATACTCTGTTCCTAGACCCTCCTGCTTTTCAAGGACTTGGGTCCTTGCACTATCCCCCTTTGAATCATCAGTTTCCTTCCTATCAACACAGAAACAAGATTTTGTGTCTCATATCTTAGTCCCACTGCTTTGATTCCCCATTTCCCCCTAGATACTGCTCCATTTTTCTTGGGAACATGGAAAACCTTTTATGGAAAAATGTGTCAAAAGAATGATTTACCCTAGCTGTCCTCCAGTTTTTTAACCCCCAAAAGAGAATCTGTTATAAAGACATGGATAACTCATGGGTAAAAATATAGCTCTTCAAGGTAGTGATATAGCCGAGGTGGGGAGTGGCAGGCCACTTGGAATCCACAGAGTCCTCACTGTCTGCCTTCTCCTCCACATTTCTTGTGTCTCATTCTTCTTTTTCAGTAATGCAGATTCCCCTACACTCCTTGAACAGAGTTTAGGTCTATTGTACCTTGGCCAGAGAGTTGGATAACGGAAAACGCTTACTTGAAGCCTGTGTAACATGGCAAAACTCTGTCTCTATTAAAAATACAAAAAACTTAGTTGGCCATTGTCTTAATCTGTGTGTGCTGCTATAACAAAATCCCTGGAACTAGGTAATTTATAAATTATGGATACTTATTTCTCATGGTTCTGGAGGCTGGGAAATCCAAGATCAAAGCACCAGTAGTGTCTGTGTCTGGTGAGAGCCTGGTCTCTGCTTCCAGGAGGGTACCTTATTGCTGTGTCCTCACATGGCAAAAGGCAGAGGGGCACAAGGGCAAAGGGCCTAGCTAGTTCCCCCAGCATGCATGTGGTCACTAACACCTTCATGAAGGCACATCCCTGCCCTGGCCCCCTAAAAGTCTTTTTTTTTTTTTTTTTTTTTTTTTTGAGACATGATCTTGCTCTGTCACCCAGGCTGGAGTGCAGAAGCGCCATCCTGGCTCACTGCAGCCTCGGCCACCCAGGCTCAAGTGATACTTCCACCTCGCAAGATTATTTTGTTTTATTTTTATAGAGATGGGATCTCTCACTATGTTGCACAGGCTGGTCTCAAACTACTGGGCTCAAGTGATCCTCCTGTCTCAGCCTCCCAAAGAGTTGGGATTAGAGGTGTAAGCCACCACACTCGGACAAAACTTCTTACAAGGACACTAATCCCACCATAAGGGCCTTACCCTCACGACTTCATATAAACTTCCCAAACGCCCTATCTCCTGGGAGAGGAACACCAGTCAGTCCATTGCACCTCCCTTATCTGGCAGACCCCCACCTCTTGCTTTAATTCTGCTCAGGCATCACTTCCTCAGGAAATCCTTGACTAAGCACCTCATATCCCCCACCGCTTCACTCTAAGGTGACAACGCGGGCTTTAATTCATGTTTTGTGCTTACCTCTTTCATGGCACTTGTCTCTGTTTTGTAATTATCTGTTTCCGGTCTGATTCCCTAATAGGTCGTGAGTCCCTTGAAGGCAAGGCCTTTGTCTCATTCAACTGTATTCTCCCAAACCCTAGAACACGGCCTGACCCGTGGTAGGCAACCAATGATACTTTTTGAGTGAATAGAACAAAAAGTATTGCCCTCCTTAATAAAAGAAAACCTAGAACCTTCAAGGTTGACATTGGCCTTCGCGTAGCCCAATCACAGCGCCCTGCCCTTGCTGCAAGGACTAAAGGACGCCACGCGGCCGTTGCCTAGTAACTATCGCCGGAGGGAGGCGGGGAGGGCCGCAAGCGCGCCGCCGGCGTCCAATCAGGGCGTGCATTCCGGGAGCCAATAGCAGCTTCCAGAGACGTTCACCTAGAGCCGACTACACTTCCCGTCATGCCCCGCCGCCCGGAGCTGGGCAGTGGCCGTAAAGCTGTTCGCTCGGTACGACGCGAGTCCCAGCTCAGCGCCTATGCTGGGTCCACTGGCGCTACCGCCCCCCGACGTGAGAGAGCGAAGTTCTCGGGCCGCGCTCCCTCCGTGCCTGGGTGCCCTCCCTCTCCGGGAGCCTGGGTCCCCGGGGCGGTCGCGGCGGCTGCGTCCTCAGGCCAGGCCGCGGGGGGAGGGGGCGGCACGGGCCTCCGAAAGCGGGGCCATGGAGCCCAGAGAGTCGGGGAAGGTAGGACTGGAAGGCCCGGGGGCCGCCCGCTCCCTCCCGAGGATCCCTGAGCCGGGCTCGGGCGAGGCGGGGCGGCTCGGGCGGAGGCCCCGCAGATGAGCCAGGCTTGCAGTGAAGGACTCGCCGACCCGCCCTCTGTTCCCGCACTTCGGCGGCCGACCCCGGGAGGGTGGCGGAGAGGAGCGGACGCGCCCGTTCGGTGTTCGCGCATCCTCCCCGAGCTGGCGAGTGGCCGCTGGGTCTGTGCTGGGTTGGGTGACCCCCGAGTGTAACGATGCGAAGGTGCTTCCTGTTTCGCCCACCACCTTCGGCATTTTGAAGAGGCCGGGCTAAGGCTTGGAGTCTGGATCGGACGCCAGTGGGAGCCGCAGGGTGGGACGCTTGAGGGCTTGGCCCTGCCTAGATCCTGCTTCCCAAGAAAGGGCTGAAAGGAGAGGGCATCTGGCTTGCTTTTTGCCACTTCTGTTTGTAGGTTACGTACTTCATGGAATATCTGGGCGTTGCTTAGAAACCTGTGTCGTAAATTGGCTTTGGGCAAGAGGCTTTGAGTTGGAAGAAAAGGTGGAAAGAAAGTGCTTGGGGGTGGAGTTCAGGGATTTGACGGGATTGCCAGCGCTTCCAGGCCGTGTCAGCAAAGACCAGTGTGGTTGTGGGCACATTAGCTTGGAGACAGTGGCAGCCTCTTGGGACTAACATCTTTCTGGGTGTCGTTTGCTGCCAGTTCTCGAGGATTGTTTCTTATTTGGCACAGAGGAGAATTCTCACAACAAACGTTTTCCACTGTTTATTGAGTCCCTTAAAAAAATTGTCCATTTAATAAACATTTGTGATCTGTGATTTGAATTGAACGAGATGCTGGAAGTATGAGGATAAATAGGAAATGATCACCTTTCTCAAGGAGCTCCCCTGCAGTTTTCACTTCAATAACTTGGACACGCCTGGAAGGGTTGTCCCACACCAAAAGAGAGAAAAGGATAATGAGGTTCTTTTGATGCTGTAGTTTTTCCTGGGAAGACTAGGAAGGACTCTGAATTTCAAAAGAGGTGATTTCTCGCATGAGCATCTCCTCCATCCTCCCTCCCCTCCACAAGCTACAGTGATGCATTTTCCAGACACGGCACCTACAGAGTACAGGGTCCAAGACAATAAAGCTCAACAAAACCCAAGAAAAGCTGGAGCTTATGGGCCTTACCCTTTAGAAATATCCCCGGATTGATTTAGATTGAACCTGAATTTGAATAAAGAGGAGCAAAATGTAGGGGGAAGAAGGATTATAAAATATTGGGATTGATATTGGAATCAGTGATTTGAGGTTGATTTCCAAGCTATTCTGTTTAGTCATAGGCTTTCTTAGCCTTTAATGGGAGAAGAGAGAAATACGGTCATGCGCTGTAGAACAAGGTTTCCATCAACACGGCTGTCACGTACATTCCCTGTGACTACAGTGGGGCTGAGAAATTCCTGTCACCTGGTGACATCTTCATGATCCCGACCCTGTGTAGGCGTAGGCTAATGTGTGTGTTTGTGTCTTAGTTTTTAACAAAACTTAAAAAGTAAAAAAAAAAAAAAAAATTTAAAATAGAAAACCTCATAGAATATAAAGAAAAATACCTTTTGTTGACGGAATGGTTTGCTAAAAAAATAAATAAAAATACAAAAATAAAGAAAAATATTGTACAGATGTACAATGTGTGTTTAGCTAAGTGTTATTACAAGAGTCGAAAGTTTAAAAAATTAAGTTTATAAAACAATTACAATAAGCTAGGGTTCATTTATTGAAGAAAGAAAAATTTTTAATAAATTTGGTGTAGCCTTAGTGTGCAGTGTTTATAAAGTCTACAGAAGTGTTCAGTCATATCCTAGGCCTTCACATTCACTCACTCACTCACTCACCCACCCACCCACCCAGAGCAACTTCCAGTTCTGCAAGCTCCATTCATGGTAAGTGCCCAGTACAGATGTACCCTTTTTTTTTTTGTCTTTTCTACTGTATTTTTACTGTACCTTTTCTATGTTTAGATACGCAAATGCAAATACGTACCAGGTGTTACAGTTGCCTACAGTTTTCAGTACAGTAACATACTGTGCAGGATTGTAGCCCAAGGGCAAAAGGGTATACCATATAGCCTAGATGTGTAGTAGGCTGTACGATGGAGGTTTGTGTAAGTACACTCTGTGATGTTCCACAATGACAGAATTGCCTAAGGACACATTTCCCAGAACTTATCCCCGTTGTTAAGCAATGCATGATTGTACAAACATTTTGGAAGGTAGAGGAGAAACCTGATTCCTTTTCTGGTCCAACCACTAAGTGAAACCTCAGAGACTGGAAATTTCACCCTTGATTCTAATCTTTATTTTAAGGTATCTCAGAAAGGTGCTCGCCCTTCCCAAATACAGTTGTTTTCTAATGTGGGAAATGAGAACTTCATACAAGAATAAAATAAAGTAATTACAAAACCAACTGGCAGTGTAAGATGTATTGCAAATGAATGACAAGGAATAGTGGTGCTGTTCTACAGCTCTACTCTGAACAGCATTTTTACGGCTCAGAACTGGGAGACTACCTTGTGAGATAGTGATTTGGTCTATTACTAGATATTACTAGACTCTTGGGTGCTGTTTTGTGGTCTTTATTAACTGAAAGCCATGTTGGGCCATTGGAATGATCTCCCACATTGAGTGTAGGACATCTTGCCTGTCATTGACAGAATAATGGATACGGGTCAGACTTTTCCCCACCATGCTCTATCCCATGATCCTGTTTTATTTTCTTCCCAACCCTTATCACTCAACAAAATTCTCATGTTTATTTATGTATTTACATATTTGTTGACTGTTACATCCCCAGCTAGAACAGTGGAGCAGCTCCTGGCATTTAATAGGGTCTCATTCAATAGGAATGCTTATAAAATAGCATCACTACAGGAGCCCTTTTGCTGCAAGGTGTGGGTGCTCTGAAGAACACTGTAGCCCGCCCCCTCATGTGCCTCCTAGGAGACTGTGCTGTTGATGCCCCCAAGAGAAGTCTATATGTGTACTTGTTTCTGTATGTATTTGTTGCCTCAATGTTTCTGTTTCCTGGCCCTCCCTTATCTTTTCTGTACAAGTGACTGATACTCCTTTCTCATTTTTTTTCTGAACATGGTTCTGTTATTGCACTTACATCTTAGTTGTCTGTCACCTCCTGATAGATTTTAATCTCATATGTTTGAATTACCATGCACCAAGCACATAGAAACACTTAAGTAATAAAAGTGCCTATAAAATACTTTCCATATAACATGGTTGTGGGGAGAAGGGTGGTGTTGATGAAGGAAGTTTTAAAATCAACCAAGCAGCATAGATTTCCTTAACACTGGACTCTAGGGGAGATACAAAGCCTTCCTTGCTCAGGAGAAGGATAAATGCTTGGGCCAGGTGGTTAGGAAATCCTTCCTGAAAGAGAAAGTGAATTGCAACTTTATGGGTGGGTGGATTCTAAGTCGGTGGGAGGAAGTGGGCAGTCAGGATCTAAAGATTGGGAGTGTAGAGAGAGGAAAGGTGCGAGATAAGCTGGGTGATTGCAGTGATATGAGTCTGGCTGGAGGAGACGTTCTGAGTTAGGCAATGCACAGAGCTGAAGTTAGAAAGTGGGTTAGATTCAGACTGAGGGGGCTTTGGTGCTAGACTGAGAATTCAGACAGCTTTACCCTGTAGAGAGTGGGAACCGCTAAAAACATCGGGAGATATTCTTTGCATTACACATGGATGAGGAACTCCTCTTGTTCACTCAGATTTGTGTTTTCTTTACATTGCAGTCACCTAGAATCAGAAGGCTCTTGCTATAATATTGTTTAAGAGAGGTACCAGGTGTTAATGTTATCACTCTTGCTGGGAAGACACTGTTGTCCAAATGGACAGTCCTAGCCATGCTCCTTCTCAGGTGGAGCTAACGTGATGGGTTCCTTGGTCCTTGTGCTCACCTGTGCATGCCCGGGAAGGATGGGCATGAAGAGGGACCCTGGCTGTCCTGTCACAAGTGTTTTAACCTGCCCCAGTCTGGACAGGCTACCCTCCAGTCCTGGGATACAGCAGTCATCCTGAATCTGCCTTCAGCCTAATCTTGGGGTTATCTTCAGCGCTTCCCCACATTGTCTGCCCCTAGGCTGTATCTCATGGAGACTCTTTTCCTGTTTGACCACTTTCTTTTAGTGGAGCCTGTCTTCTAATCAGATTTTGGAAATATTTCATTTTGCTTTGGAAGACACTCTATAGCAAATGGTTATTTAAATGTACACATTTGGCAGTACAATTCCATTTTTGTTTTTAAAACTGTTCATACATATTCATAGACTGAAGACTGGGAGGTTATATATAAAATGTTAACAGGTTCTCAGGAAAGAAGGGTAATGAAAAGTAATTCTTTTTCAATAAAGGGAATGTGCATGATCTTAATACATTTTTTTCTGCTTATGTCTATTGTCCAAATTTTCTGCAGTCACCATAAGAAAAATCTATTATGATAGTGACCAGTAAGAATGATCTGTGTCATTTTCTTCAAGAAATGTCTATTGTCGAGGTTAAAATCGATATTTCACCTATTTTTAAATGGCATGCTGCTATTCCCAATGTTATTTTTCTTTGGACTGAGAAATTTGTTTTTTGTTGATAATTTGATTGATTTACTTCTTTTTAAAATTTCTTTAGGTAATGTTTTCATGGCACAAAACTTAAAATGATAAACATCTCTACTTCTTTTTCTGTTGATTTCTTTTATAACACTTTGTTGCGTGGCTGCAGTACTTTACCTCTTTGATGACTTGATGATAGTTTTGTTTTTTTTTTAAAGTTTTTTTCTCCATGCCTCCCTTACATTTTCTTAGCAACCACCCCGACACCTCCCATCTGTTTTGGTCTCTATAGTCCCTGTTAGATCCTTTCCCCAAGTATCTGGTAGTCCAGTCTGCTGACATTTAGCAGTGGAAGACCAAAACTCTAATAACTCTGTGCTTGTGAGTGGGAGGACGGGCTTATCAGCTGGAGCCTCGTGTAAAGAACCTGGGGAGGCATTTGTTGGGGCACAGCCCTCCCCTAGTTCTCATTCCACTGGACTGCCTGCCTGCCCTCCCGTGCTAGAGGTTTCCCGTGCTGGAAGATGCCAAGCTTTTGAGGATGCAGAGTGTACCTTGGGTGGTTCTCCGCTTTGCCTGCTGCCAGGAGAGGATTTGATTTTCTTGGATCTGCTGAGTGACTGCTTTTTCATCTGCTTCTCGGTTTCCAAGAGCATATTGCCGTCGTCTCCTTGTTGTGCCCCCATTATAGTGGGGGTTTTGTTTGGGGGATGGGCTTTTAAATTAACAGGGAATAAACCAAATTAAATGGGCTTGTTTAATCTGCCGTCTTAATCTGGAACTCCTCCAAGCACTTTCTGAACTCCCTGCCCCACAGAGCCCCTTTACAAGCCACACGGGATGTAGATCTTAGCCCCAAAGCATTGCCTGTTTTCATCATTCACAGACATAGTTCTAAATGACTTTCAGCTATTTCTAGAAATCAGACATATCTTCCTAAGTGAAGGTTTACCATGTTTAAGGTTCCATGAAAGAATGTGCCCTAAGTTGTTGCCCAGCCCCTGGCTGAGAAGGAACAGGCGTGTGGGAGGCGGGTGAAGAGCACGCAGGGAGGGGACGGAGAATCTCCTAAGCCAGCTCCTTCATGGGTCAGTTTCGTTTCAGTGCATGGCACTTCCCGGAAGAAACGAGTCTCGTTCTCACTGTGATCTGTACCCAAGTGGGGAAATATGGGGTGTGGGCCTTGCATGTAAATTGACAACACCCCTTCCCATGCAGGGTACCCTCAGGTGGTCAGGAACACTTTTGGAAGATAAATCTAAGGAAGAGGGTGGTACTTAGCAGCTGTCATTTTCCTTTCAGGCTCCTGTGACGTTTGATGACATCACTGTGTACTTACTCCAGGAGGAATGGGTGCTGCTGAGCCAGCAACAGAAGGAGCTCTGTGGTTCCGACAAGCTGGTGGCACCACTGGGTATGGGTGCCCATCCACATCCCTGCCACCATCAATCTAGATCAGCATTCCCAACCTCATCTGCGTCAGGAACACTGGAGAGAGTTTTCTGGAATCCAAGCATTTGTCTAGGCATCTTTATACTACCTATCTGCTCGATCCCGTATCTACCTTAATTGCATGCAAATTCACACATCACCGTTTCTCTTCTCCCCATAAAATGGTCAAGAGAAGTGGGGCAATCTGGCAGGCCTGGGCTAGACTCCTGGGTCTGTCTCCTGGTGCCTCAGAATGCCCCAAGGGGCCAGGAGGGAAACTCGGAAGCCAGGCCTGTGGATCTGTGGAGCCCGTAGGACGCTGGAGGTAGGAAGCAGTGGTGGCAAAAGCATCACATTTGCAATGTGGAAATCTGATCTCAATCCCAGCACTCCACTGGATACTTGAGTGCCTTTGGCCTTTTTAAGCCTGAATTTCCATCTTCTTAGGGTTATGATAGAGATTTAGTGAGAGAAAACAGTTTAAGAGTTTGCACAAGTGTATTTTTCACCTCGTCTATTTTTTGAATGCTCTTTCCTTTGATTCTTTGGGTAGACTTTCTGTGCCAAGGACAGAGGTGGTTGGTTGTATTTCAACATGTGTGTACACATATGCACAGTTGACTGATTGCAAGTTGATGACTGTCTACCATGCTTTTCTTATTTTGTCTTGGCTGCTGTGTAAGGCATAGTAGAAGCCACAATCTCAGCATTTTGTGGGTGGAAGGACTGCAGCTGGGTTGAGTCTTCCTGTGCCAGCTAAAAGAGTTTGAAAACCACTGATTCTTCCAAACCAGAAGTTGCAAAGTAGCAGCTCATGGGCCAGATACGGCTTACTGCTTGGAGTTTTGATTTGCTTTGTTTTTTGACTTTTGTTTCTTTTGTTTGGCTTCTTTAAATTGCCAATATTTAGTTATTAGGAGTTTTCACATAAGAATATGGATTTCTGGCATCTCTTGACAAACAGGACGGTGTGGCGGGGCTGAGCCTGCATCCCGAGTGGCAGCCCTTCTGCAGCTGAGTAGCTGCTGCTCCTTTACGCCTTGCAGGTTGCCACAGCCCCTGAACTTGGCCTGGTTTCCTCTGTTATATTACCAGGCTGGTCCCCCTCAGCATTTGGGTTTCTGACCCATAGTTTTTATACCTGTTTAGCCTCCTTTTGCCCTCATTCCTTTCTCCTAGTCTCCTGTTCTATTAAGGGCCTCACAGATACGAGTTTCTAAACCACTGAACCACTGTGCTGAACCACCAAGACTCCTACTTTCCTGCTTGGCCCCTTATTTCACCATATGCTGGGAGAGGTCGCAGACAGATGCCTCCTTCGTGCTGTGACCCAGAGCCAGTCTTCACAGTGCTTTTCTCTCTCTCTTTTTTTTTTTTTTTTTTTTTTTTACTCAGGACCAACTGTTGCCAACCCTGAGCTGTTTTGTAAGTTCGGACCAGGGCCAGAGCCATGGCTTGGCAGCGTCCAGGGCCAGAGGAGCCACCTGGAGCATCACCCAGGTGAGCGTGGACCTGCACTCAGGGGCGGGTGCTTGGCTGGAGAGGGAGCAGGGGCAGCTCCAGGACTCCAGGCTCATCCTCTGCCCTCCCTGTTCTCCACCAACTGACACTGCTGTTCTCCTCCCAGGTGTCATCTGATTAATATCTAAATATACACACTGCCCCTAATGTCCTTCTCCAACCTCTCATCTCCCATTGTCTTATTTCTACCCAGGAGAATATGTTTATTTATAATTATTATAAGTTCCATGAAGGCATGACTTTGTCTTATTTACTACCATATTCCTAGTGCTTAGAACAATACCTGGCACCCAGCTGTTGCACAATAGATAATCGCTGAATGAATGAACAGCTGTCTGTTAAGTTCTAGGGATTTATCTTTTCTTCCCTCTTTCGATAAGACCCTCCTGTTCAAGGGTTGGCTTAGCCAGGCCAGATGACATCTTGTCATTATGTAAAATAACCGAGTTAACCCAACTCCTACTGTGGGAGAAGAGGGAGGTGGGGAGCAAGATCCTATGTGAATCAAATCACAGAAGTTTGTTTTCCCTTGTGATTTCTCTCAGACCACAAGGAGCTCTAGACAGCTTTGTGACTCTGGAAAGTATCATAGAGACAGATTTGTTTTGTTTCATTTCTCCTTGCTTGGCTCTTACTTTGAGCCTTCTGACTCTTATTAACAGCTTCATGCCCTTACAGTTTTGTAGACCAGTCTGTTGGCCTGTCACAAAAAATGTGGAGTCCTCAGCCACTGGGCATTGGAACTGATGTTGGTACATAAGAAATGGTTCCACAGGAGTTAGAGTCGTTTGAGTTGCATTTCATCTAAGTGAATAAAGAAACTTCTAGTTCAGCTTGAAGAAAAAAGATGTGAGGTCATAAGAGTCCTCATCTGTTTGAAGGTTTGTGTTATAAGAGAGGAATTAGACTTGAGTTTCTCTTGAGGACTGGGTCAGCATCCAGGATTTTGAGGTAAAAGTATCCGAAGATAGATTATAGCTTAAGGAAAACTACCTGGGGACGAAAACTGCCTGCCCAGGAGATAGGTAGCTGTCTTCCCCTGGAGTTGCGGTGTGTGGCTTTAGTGATCTTTTTTAAATCCTGTGTTCTATTATGTTAGTGTTCTTATCCATAAATAAATTTTGACTCCTGAAGATTGTACGTTTCATAGATCAGATTGCAAAGATCTCCTTTTGGCTGGTTGTATCTGTCCTTTAAATTCAAAAAACAAAAAGGAGGGGGAGGGTTCTGTAAAGCCCATCCCTTTGGCTTTCTTCTGGATTAGGTGAGGGAAGGGCCTGCAGACTTGGCCGGGACTAGAAGAAAATTCAGGTGTGTGTGTTTGCTTTCCGCCTTTCATATTTGAGGTTCTTCAGAGCCACTGTGAGTTGCAGTGGCTCTAACTACAGGATTTTAAAGCAAATCCCTTCCGTCCCTGCTCTCTAAAGGGAAAAAACAGATGGGCTACATGGAAGACATGGGCGTGCAAGGTCCCACCAGGGAGAGTGGACAGTCCCTGCCGCCTAAGAAGAAAGCCCGCCTTTCCCACCTCAGTACGGGCAGTAGACACATCGAGGGAGACTGGGCAGGAAGAAACAGGAAACTCCTGAAGCCCCGGTCCATCCAGAAGTCATGGTTTGTGCAGTTTCCGTGGCTGATCATGAATGAGGAGCAGACGGCTCTGTTCTGCTCTGCTTGCCGAGAATACCCCTCCATCAGGGACAAACGGTCAAGACTAATAGAAGGTTATACAGGACCATTCAAGGTGGAGACTCTCAAATACCACGCCAAGAGCAAGGCCCACATGTTCTGTGTCGATGCCTTGGCAGCAAGGGACCCCATCTGGGCAGCCCGGTTCCGGAGCATCAGAGACCCATCTGGAGATGTCCTGGCCAGCCCGGAGCCGCTCTTCATGGCAGATTACCCCATATTCTACCCCCCAGGGCCTCTGGGAGGCTTTGATAGCATGGCTGAGCTCCTGCCAAGCTCAAGAGCTGAACTAGAGGACCCTGGGGGGAATGGAGCAATTCCTGCTATGTATCTAGACTGCATTTCAGATTTGAGTCAAAAAGAAGTCATTGATGACGTCCACAGCTCCTCAGACATTGATATTTTATGTAATGATGCAGTAGAATCCTGCATTCAGGTAATATGTTTATAATGATTGCTGTATCTTACAGAGAAGGATTCTATACTGAGAACAATGTATATCCAGGCTGATGATGGAAAAAAGAATACTAGCAATAACCCACTGCTGACATCATAATGTTAGCGTATACTAACATGCTTATCATGGACTAGGCATTGTTTTAGATGCGTCACATGTATTATCTCATTTAATTTGGACAACAGCCCTATTATTACCTCCTTTTTGCAAATAACAAAACATAATTAGTGAGACAGAACATTTCTACTTCCGGTATAAAGGAAACAATAATCTTTATTCAGAATCCAAAATAAACACAGATCTCAAGAAATAATCTACAACCACAAAACAATCACAGAGCCCTTAAATAGTTGATATTTAAATTTGTTTTGTTTAAGAGACAGGGTGTCGCTCTGTCACCCAGGCTGGACTGTGGTGTGATCATAGCTCACTGCAGCCTTTACCTCCAAGGCTCAAGCAATGCTTCCCACTCAGCCTCCCAAGTAGCTGGGACCACAGGTGTGTGTCTCCACACCTGGATAATTTTTTATTTTTTGTAGAGATGGGAATCTCACTATACTGCCCAGGCTGGTCTTAAACTCCTGGGCTCAACCAGTCCTCCCACCTCAGCCTCCCCAAATGCTAGGATTACAGATACGATCTACCACACCTGTCTAGTATTTTTTACAGTTTAACTTTAACTTTGGAGTCATGTTGCACTTTTAAACATTGCAGTTTTTTCACACATGTTGTTTGACGTAATGTTTCTGATGTTGCTGTGAGGCCAGTAGAGCAAGTGCTATTAAACTTACCTTGTTGGAAGAAAACAGACTTTGGAGCAAGTGACATGTCCGGGGTTCTAGAGCTCTTATAGTCAGTGCCAGAATCTGCCCAGAGTCCGGAGCTGCCGGTCCATGCTTTCCTTCCACTCCCCACAGCACTCCTGGGCACTAAGTACTCTAGCGCCCACCTTAGGTTTCCTTTGTAGTTACCGAATGCTTTGGAAAGTTGTCCTGTAAGGAAACTGTGTTCACTGGACGCTTCCCCATTTCTCACCTATTGCATAGAAGTAGAATTTTACAACAAATCATTTTTAACTCCCCTCCAGGAGTCTGGCGAGAATAACTCAGAGATTCCTCCTAGAGCTGGCATCATAAGGAATCCAGTTCAACTGCGTAAACTCTCATTTTTTCCAAAATCCAGAAAAACAGCATAGCTCATTTCTTTTCCTATTCCTGATGTTTTTTAGTGTTAGAAGCTAATAAACAGATCTAACCTTTTATCATCTGAATTCCTTCAGCAGTGAGGCATGTGTAAACCAGTTACTGGTCATAAGTATCTTTAACTATTTTGACCACCTCTTCGTTCCCATCCCATTGGGAAATCTTAGCAGGTGCTCTTAGAGGCACACGGTCACCTTTTAGTTGTAGGTGACCAGGAGGCGGCTCTCAGGACTCTGAGGACAGCATGCAGTGAGAGGCTCTGCCCAGTTGCCTCTTCTTTCCATACGCTTTCATTTCCGCCCAGGAGATCCTAGGATCTGACCGAGTCTCACTTGGTTTTAACTTACTAATTCTGGCCTCCTGAATTTGATTCTTTGACTTTCAATGGATAAATTCATTCCTCTGAGTGCATCTGGGCCTCTTGATGAGCTTCCCAGGAGAAATAGGGCTTCCAAAGGCCCCAGAAGTGTCGCACGGGCATCTGGCTTGGCAGGCGGTGCTGAGTGGCCGCTGCTCTTTGTTCCAGGACCCTACTGCAGAGGGGTTGTCGGAGGAGGTTCCTGTGGTGTTTGAGGAGCTGCCGGTGGTGTTCGAGGACGTGGCGGTGTATTTCACCCGGGAGGAGTGGGGCATGCTCGACAAGCGGCAGAAGGAGTTGTACAGAGACGTGATGCGGATGAACTACGAGCTGCTGGCATCCTTAGGTAAAGACGCACCGAGTCTCTTACTCGCCACCCTCATTTGACTTGGGAAGCCCACAAGGGGAGCTGAGGCTTGTGGTTATCTTCCCATTCCTGCCCCCTCCCCGTGCGTAGGCAGAGACCAATCCTGGCTTTTGCACCTCAGAACTCCCCTGCTTGGCGTAACTGTGCTTTATCACCTTCTCATCCACCCATCTGTCCATCCATTCGTCCCCCACCAGACATTTTGGAGTACCTACTATGTGCCAGAGGAGCACAGCTGATCCGTGGTCTCTGCTTTCAAGGGCCTAGCACATTTGTGGGAGAGACAGACATTTTAATAAGAAACTATAAAATAATACAGTCTCCCATAAAAGAGCTTCCAGAAGAGTACCCAGGGCTACTGAAGAAGAGGGATCTGATTTCCTGGGCATTGGTGGGAGGGATCAGGAAGCCTTTATAGAGTAGGAAATGTTTTAATTGAGTTCAAAACCAGGTGGACCAGGAGGAAGGGCATTGAACCATGATGGAGGGGACGGCCTGGCAGAGCCACCCCTATCTGTGCAGCCCAGGGCTGAGGCTCCTGCATCCTGGCCAGGTGCCAGCAAGAGCTGGCAGCCTTTAAGCATGGGAGTCATGGGGTTTAGACCTTGGCAGATTAGGAAGACAGCAGTGCTTATTACTCCTCAGGATGGTGCTCTCCTCTCCTGCATCTGCTGTTTTATCCTCTCTTTGCCTCTTTCTGGCAGTTAGCAAGGTTCTTATGAAGCATCAAGATGGAAAGACAACTTTTTTTTGTTGGAGACAGTGTCCCTGTGTCGCCCAAGCTGGAGTGCAGTGGTGTGATCTTGGTTCACTGCAACCTCTGCCTCCCAGGTTTAAGCAATTCTCTTGCCTCAGCCTCCTGAGTAGCTGGGACTACAAGTGTGTGCCACCATGCCTGGCTAATTTTTGTATTTTTAGTAGAGATGGGGTTTCAGCACTTTGGCCAGGCTGGTCTCAAACTCCTGACCTCAGGCGATCCACCCGCCTTGGCCTCCCAAAGTGCTAGGATTACAGGTATGAGCCAGCACACCTGGCCAACTCTTCATCTTCTACATCTTTTGTGTATTTCTTTACTAACATACATGGTAACAGAAACCTTGTGGAACAGGCTATTGTACATAACTAAGGAGTTCCAGCAGCAACCTGTGTTGTGACTTCTGCAGAACAGGAAGTAAGAAGTCTGCGACTTGATTGATGTCATAATCCCTTGTGTATACTGCACTTTTGGGTGCAGCTAAGATCTGGATTAATTTCTAAACATCCTTGACTTATAGACATCTTTTTGTCATTGTTCATAATTTTTAAATGGCTCCCCAAACATTCAGAAGTGACTTAAATTATTTATTTTGTGGTGACAGGTTTTGTCATCATGCCCTAGGTTAGGAGTATCTCTTCAAAGAGCATCACTGCCTCTGCTGTGCTGAAGAGCAGTGAGGGTGAGGGCGAAATTCACACCTGTTTTAAAAATGCACACCCTCTACAAAAAGTTGGGTTTTCCTTTAGAGTAATTGGCACTAGCGACTCAGTTTCACTGTGAAGCCCCCGGGCGATTGTGAAAGTACCAGGCAATGGTGTTGCTGGCCCAGGGCAGCTTCTCCGGCAGTGCAGAGAGGGCTGGCCAGGATTGTTTAGCCTGTGCCTGTTCCCTCACATTTTGTGTCTTGATAGAACATGATCTAAACGTTTTATCATTTTCTTTTTCATTTACATAAATTAGGCAGTAGGGAAATCTTAGCTAACTAAGGTCTTTAAGTTTTATTTGGATGAACAAAAAATGTAATCAGAGGGAAGGGAACTCATCCTTGAGGGTCAGAGGCAGGAATCAGAAAGGCTTTCTAGGGGGTGGGCCTGGCCTCTCCGGTTGTCCATGAAATTGAGACAGGTGTGCGAGTCTAGAAACGGAGTTGCATGTGTGTGATTCCTTTCAGTTACTTTAACTGGATCTCTGGTTATCCTTTATCCCCCAATTTAAACAGTTCTTCATGTTTGAGATATAAAAGCATCTTAAGGAGCCTGGAGACTATGGGCAGGGCCTGGCATAAGCTATTTATATATTTAAAAGTGATATATAGTAGTATTAAATTGGGATATAAGGTAGTGTTAAAACATAGTGGAGATTCTGTAATTGTTATTATTATTTTTACTTTGGCTCTTTTTTAAATTTCCCACACTTTAGCCTCCATAACAAATGCTTTAAGAGTTGAAAACCAAATATTCTTTTGCATTATCTTTTAAATATTTTTTGTAAATAGAACACAAAACTTCTTCTTGGGGTAAACTCAACTTTGTTTTGTGTGTGTGTGTGTGTGTGTGTGTGTGTGTGTGTGTGTGTGTGAGAGAGAGAGAGAGAGAGACAGGCTCTCTGTCGCCCAGACTGGAGTGCAGTGGCGCCATCATAGTTCACTGTAACCTTGAACTCCTGGGCTCAACCAATCCTCCTGCCTTAGCCTCCCAAGTAGCTGGGACTACAGGCGCATGCCACAACACCTAGCTAATTTTTAATTTTTTTTGTAGAGTTGGGGTCTCACTTTGCTGCCCAGGCTGGTCTCAAACTCCTGGACTGAAGCAATCCTGCTGACTAAGCCTCCCAATGTGTTGGATTACAGTGTGAGCCACTGTACCTGGCTTGCCATATCTGATGAAGTCTGTTGTTTCTTCCCAAAAAGCAGCCAGAAATCTCAATTACATCCCACTGTTAAGAAACTAGTATTTGTCATTAACAGAAATAGGCCAATATAGGGACTATGTGGGTAGCCCTTGCTTTTATTTGTAAAGGTGTCATCGTATGCTGAGTGGCCAGTCACTCACTGCAGGCAGGCAGTTTCTTGTCCACAGAAGAAGTCAGTAATTACAGCCAGGCCTTACTGAACTGGGGGAAGGCATTGCGTCACTCATGGAAACCAACATTGAGTGGGAGGACCCTAAAGAAGATGAGCAAGGGAGTTTGAGTCCCCCAGCAGGTGGTGTCTGGGAAGCCAGCTTCTCCACAGCAGGGCATGTGATGATGGCCTCCAAGTGGGGGCAGCCAGGAGCTAGAGAGAGAAGAACTAAGGTGAGGGGCTAGAGTGGCATCTATTTACTTATTTGTTTGTTTGAAATAGGGTCTCTCTATATTGCCCAGTCAGGACTGAAACTCCTGGGCCCAGGTGATCCTCCTGCCTCAGCCTCCTGAGTATCTGCAGAATGGATTCATGGGATAGGGCCTGCTGGCCTTTGGTGAAGTTGGCCTGGAAGGATGAGGAGTCCTTTGTAGGCCAAACCATTGTTATGGACTGTTAGGGAATGTGGGTGTTTGTGGGTGTATGCATGTACTCGCGACCGTTATGTGCCCTCGTTCTTTTTCTATTACTAAGTCATAGAAAAGGCTGAAAATTCCCCTCTGTTTCATTTGTTTGGAAGGGAACAAAAAGAGAGGTTTTGCTAAGATGTAGGCTGCAGCTTCAGAGAGGTACCGTTTAGGGTACGGTATTCCTGGGGCCAGGGTGGTGGTGCCAGCAGCAGTCAAAGGTGGACAGTCCTCAAAGGGAATATAAACGGAGGCAAACAGATTTGGGAACATTTGGTCCCTGTTTGTTTTGAATTGTGCTTGTTAAATATTTCTGCCAGGCGTGGTGGCTCACACCTGTAATCCCAGCACTTTGGGAGGCTGAGGCGGGTAGATCATCTGAGGTCAGGAGTTCAAGACCAGCCTGGCCAACATAGCAAGACCCTGTCTCTACTAAAAATACAAAAATTAGCTGGGCGTAGTGGTGCATGCCCGTAGTTCCAGCCACTCGGGAGGCTGAGGCAGGAGAATCACTTGAACCCGGGAGGTGGAGGTTGCAGTGAGCCAAGATCATGCCACTGCACTCCAGCCTGGGCAACAGAGCCAGACTCCATCTCAAAAAAAAAAAAAAAAAAACCAAATGACAGTCCCCTGTCCCACCTTTCTCTTTTACGAAGTCCTCTTCCCCAGAATCTTGTAGCTGTTTCTTCCAGTAATTTGCTGCATTCTTTCTAAATAACGTATGTGGACATCATCTTAGAGGGGATGGACTCCAGCAGGACGCGCTCATAAAACAGTTGCATCCTCCCGCTCACCACTGAGCATGTCAGCTCTGAGGGCCTTTTCTTTCTCACCCTCTGGGTTAAATCTAGGCAGGGCCCAGAACTTTTTCACACTCAAATAACATAAAATCTTCCTGGTCTAATTTCAATGAGTGCAATGCCTGGTACAAAACTCTTCAAAAGTGTCCTGATCAAAAAAAGACCGAGTAAGGCCGGCAAACTACCTCAATTAAAGGAGACTGAAGAGGTGTGACAACTTGAGTACATGATGCTAGGACAGATGCTAGGCTACAGAGACATTTTTGGGACAAGTGAAGAAATTTAGTGTGAACTATAGATCAATAATAGTATGATATCAGTGTTGAGTTTCCTGGTTTTGATCATTATAACTCTGGTTGTATAAGACACCTTTGCTTTCTGCTGCCCCATTTCAAATGACTGCAGACTCATGTATTATCTCACAGCTCTGCAGGTCGGGAGTCCAGGTGGGCCTGACCAGGTTCTCTGCTTAGGGTCTTAGCCCAAACCAAGGAGCAGACAGGCAGGCTCCTGTCTGGAGGCTCTGGGCTCACTTATGCTGTTGCCGGAATCTAGCTCCTTGCGATTCTCCTGCTGCCTGTCAGCGGGGAGCACTTTTAGCCCAGAGGCTGCTCTCGGGTGCTTCCCTGTGGCCCCCTCCGTGCTCAGGCCGGCAGCAGTGTGTGGAATCGTCATGTGCCTTGAAGCTCTGACTTCCTGGTCTGATGCCAGCTGAGAACAGCACCAGCTTTTAAAGAGCTGTGTAACTAGGTCGGCTCCACCGGCTAATCTCCCTTTGCTGTGCAAGGTAACATGATGACAGTGTGACCTCTCATCCTGTTCAGAGTGCCCTCACCTCAAGGGGAAGGGGTTAAGCCAGGGTGAGGGCCCTGGAGCCCATGTTCGAATCCCACCTACCACCTGTTAAAGGGACCTTTTTTGCAATAACATGAAGTACTTAGGAATAAGGGGGCATGCAAACAATTTACTCTCAAATAGTTCACAAAAATGTTGTAGCTATATGTATAGACCCAGCAGGAGAGCGTGCCTGTGAGCTCACAAGCATGCCAGAATACATGGGGCAAAATGTCAATGATTGGCATTCCTTGTGGTGTTCAATCTTTTCTGTAAATTTGAAATTATATCAGAAATTTACCAAAAGGAAAATTTAGGAAACAAAAGCCCGGTCTCTGTGTAGTGGCAGAAAATCTGGACTTCATTTAACACTCGATTCTTGCCTTTCCCACCTCAGCCTGCTGCAGGTGTAGAATCTGGACCATGCCACAGGAAGACAGGGGCTCCTCTTCTCCCGCCCCCTGCTGGTTTCAGAATTTCTGACTCATCCTCAGTGGGAATGGCATTGGTGGGTGGGTGGGAGAGGTGTGAGAAAGGTTTCACTTGACATGTCATCTGACACCAGCTACTTAGAGCTGTAGTCCTTTAAAGCTGGTTCTCTTGTTTGGGCGTTTGTGGGTTCTGCAACACCCCTGGCTGGGCACTGAGACCCTCTCGCTTGCAGTTGCCTGGACATGGGTGAATGTCTGCCCTGGCAGCCTGTCCATACAGGCACCTTCACAGGGGAGCATCACACCAGTAGCCAGCCGTCACGGGCAGGCCCCACAGACAACGCCAGGCCTCTTCTCATTCCCCACGTGTCCCACATCTGAACCATGGAAGCACTTCCAGACCTTGCGCTGTCACAGATCTGGGAGTGTAGGCCATTCTCCACATGGCCACCTCCAAGGCACCCCGTGGCTACTTTAGTCTTACCCAGGCCTGGACTGGTGGCCCCTCACAGCTCCCAGAGATACAGGTCAGGTTAAGGGAAAGGGCACACCCACCGCTCCCCATAGTCAGAGAGAGAGGCTCACAATACCTTTGACAATGCTTTCCAGAAACATCCCTGGTGCCCAACTTCCTGGCTCCTTCAGGCTCAGCTCTGTGACTCCTCTCGATGGGTGCAGGCTGGAGCCACAGCCCCCGGCCCTCAGCCGTTCTCTTTCCAGGTCGTGTGTCCGTGTCTGACTTTGGAATGCAGAAGAGCTGGCTCCTACTTTTAGAGGCTTTCAGCCAGAGCAGGCATCCAGAATCACACTTTAATACCCTGTGGCTTATGTTTATTGTATTCCTATTTATTGATTTTAGATATTCTGTTGATTCCTACTGTGGAAGATGGAGATACGGCCCTGTTACATCACCTGGGCCCCCACTTCTCTTCCCTCCATCCTCTCAGAATAGGTACATCATACTTTTTTGGTTAAATTAGTACCAATTATTTGCCCAATATGATTATGTATGATTGACTGCTGAACAAGGTGGTGCATTGTGTTGGTGTTTCCTTCATTGTAGGACTCTTCCCCCTCGAATTGGAAAATTTTTTCTTCTTTTTTATTTTTCTCTTTCTTTACCCTCATCAGTTCTTCCTAGACTCTCCAGTGGAATTATAAAACTCCTCCGAAGAGTCTTTTCCACGTGATGGGACATCCTGTGATCTCTCCACTTCATTCTTTCTCTGGAGACTTCGCTCCCAGGGTCTTCTCCTCCGCTGCTCTGTCTAACCTAGGCAGCCTTTAGGCCTGTGGCACACCTGTGGTCTGAGATGTGCCTTCGTCTCTCCCCCATTTCCCGAGTCTATCTCTTCTTTTGTGGTTGACATCTTCATCTTGTTAGTGTACGTCTTCCAGTGGCTTCCTAAGGAAGGGTGCAGGGGAGGCCTTCTTTCTGTGATGCATCCTGTCTAAAAACATCCTATTCTTCCCTCACGATTCAGTGATAACTTGTTTGGGCCTAGGATTCTAGGCTGGAAATATTCTTCCTCAGCATTCTGAAAGCATTGCCCTTTTAGGTTTTACAGGTGCTGTTGAGAGGTCTAGTGCCTTCTTATTTCAGAATCTTTGAACATGACTTAATTGTTCTACTCCGAAAGCTTTTGAAATTGATTTCAGTTTTCTCAGATGTTTAATGATATGTCTTGATGTTTTATATAAAGTGTGTTTTTAATCTTTTGTTTTGGGTATCTGGTGTTTCTCTTCCTTGTGGAAACTGGTCTTTTCCTGTTTGGGAAAATTTTCTTGTAGTATTTCCTCCTATCTATTTTCTCTCTTCTTTCTTCCAGAAACTCCTTTCTATTAGTTTGCTATCGGACTTCCTGGATTGAGTCTCTAGTTTTCTCTGTGTTTCTTTTTCTCCTATTTTCTGCTTTTATCTTTTCTATACTACTTTCTTGGACATTTCCTCCAGTTTATTTTCTGACAATACTATTTGTTTTTTATTCTATTGGGTTTTTTTAGTTTCTAAGCACTCTTATTGCCTCTTTCATGAGTGGCTATCATGACTTTTCTTTCTTGGGAATATTAATTCTCATTATTTTGAAGTTTTGTTTTGCTTCCTGCTGTATTTCAAGTTCTTCTAAAGCTTTTCCTACTTGTTTTGGTTTCTCTCTTTCATGTTAGAGGCTTTTCTTAAATAATTTTTTCCAGGTTCATTCCTATGTAAGAGTAAGCCTTTACAAATGGGCTGGAAGCACTGTGCGTGGCTGTAGGCCTGTGCGTGGCTGGGAAGCATCAAGAGTAGGTTTCACTTTCCACTGTAGGGTGACCAGCTGTAAACCCAGATGTCTTACTGAAGAACCCACAAAAGTCAGTGTCCATAGATCTTTTGAGGGGAGAGGGAAGGGCAATTCCATTTTCCCAAAGAAAACGCTTCTTGTCTCTTGTTTGGAGGGTATGATAAGCCCAGCCAGCATTCTTGGAGTCGAGCACCGCACCCCTCAGTCCATAGACATGACTCAGTCTCCCTGCTTTCAGTATGCACCACCCCTTCACCTTTCTGTGTACGTGGTATCTGGGATCTGGAGCCTTTCTGGGTAAGTTTTTCTGTAGACCGAACCTCTGTTCTTCTCTGGGGTGTGGTGGTGGTGGTTCCTGGTTTCCTGGCATAGGTAAGAGGATCTGGGATTGATCAGATCTCTGTCAGACTTGAGCCAGTCTGCTGCTCCCGCCCATTCCCCACCCACCACCTTCTCCCATATCTGGTGCCTGCAGTTTCTGAATCTTTCTGGGATTCTCTGGTACCAACCAACTTGCTTCTCCTTGTTAACCCGTCTGTAGGCATTTGGTGTTCAGCTCTGTTCGTTTCTCTCTCTCTTGTCTCCTTTCCTTCCAAAAAATGGATTTGCATTCCTAATCCAATTTCTCTTGGTCTTATACCTCATTTTGTTATTATTATTCCTTTGACCTCATTTTAGAGATATTTTAGGAAGAATATATGTTCAATCTAACACACTTTAGTAATTTACTTATTTATATTTTTATTAGTAAATACGTAGATATTCACACACACATATATGTATCATTATATATATAAATATATTCAAATGATCCAAAGATGAATGGTGGGAACCAGCCTCCCTTTTCCCTTGTCCTTCAGTTCCTCTCCAGGAGCACCCACAGGCCCAGTTGCTCGTGTGGCCCTCCACAGAAAGTTTATGCACACATTCACACAGACATGCACAAAAGCATGATGTAGATAGTGATGGATTTTATTTTCAATAGAGGAAATGGTTTATTTGCATACCCCTGAACAATATTCCTATTTTAAGTAAAGGGCAGTGCTTAATCCAAAGACCCAAATCTCCTTTAGTCAGATTTCAGGCTCCATTGCAGATGGTAGGTATTTCGAGGGGCCTCCAAGTGCCCCTTTCAAAAACCCATGTAGTTGGTCACCTTCACAGAGGCCAGCTGTGGGGGCAGAGGGGCACATGCGTGGGCCAGCTGTGGGGGCAGAGGGGCACATGTGTGGGCCAGCTGTGGGTGGGACCTTCCACGTCTCACATGGCTGCTGCTTCCCCTCCTGCTTAGTCCCTATGGTTCTTCCTGTTTCCACCCTTCCCCCTCTGGTGTGTATGGCTGGCCCGTGGCTCCCAGGGCTGGCCCATGGCTCTGTGGAAGTCCCATCCTAGCTGAGGGGTGCCCCTCCCCTTACTGCCTGTTTGGCACTCTGGGTTTGCGCTCCGCCTGCCCTTGGCCGACTAGACTTTATAAGGACAGAACCCAGAGACACCTCTGTGTATTTCAGGGGCCGGGTCTAGCTTGAGAGGGCTACTCGACTTGGCCACAGCAGTGACATCAGCATGATTCTTCATCCTTGCCACAGGACCTGCTGCTGCCAAGCCAGACTTGATCTCCAAACTGGAGCGGAGGGCTGCACCCTGGATCAAGGACCCAAATGGGCCAAAGTGGGGGAAAGGTCGTCCTCCAGGTGAGTCTAAACCTACAGCCTTCTGAAGGACATGTGCCAGGGCCCAGGCGGCTATGATGAGTCAAACAGCATGAGCTCAGCCGTGTCCATCCAATGGGGGCCGATTGGGCACCAAGCCTGGCAGGAGGCCCTGGGTAGACAAGATGAATAGCAACTAACCCTGCCCACAGAGTGTAGAGTAGTCTGGGAAAGTGGGAAAAAACCGGTCCTTTTGTAAGCAGAAGTGCTGATGGAGGCTGTGGCAGAGCTGGTGGGAGTAGGTATGTGGGGACATTGATCTCGAGGAGCCAGGGGACCCATCTGTGAGCCTCTCATCCCTTCTCCCTCCTTCTCCAGTGCTCAGTGACAGCACCATTGGTTTGTGAGAATTTGTTGTCTTGTGTATCTCAATCAGTAACTTCTTGGCTTGTAGCTGCTACACTTACTTCTGTACCTAATTCTTTCTGAGGCTCGTAAAAGACTTGGCACGTGTTTAACCTATTCCATTGTGGAGCCTCACACGAGAGTGAAAGCCACCTGCTTATCCAACAGTCTCTGTGGCCAAGGGGGTTAACTGAACTTATTGGTATCTGGTGTCACATGATCCCAGGGTAGCTGTGTGGATAGGGTGGTTGGGGTGCTGGTGAAAGAACCCACAAGGATCAGCAACAACTCTGGGAGAGCCAGATTAACTTTCATAGGTAAGAATGGGGGAGGGTTTAAGTGGACGCCACTAATGATCTCTAGAAACAAGGATTGCATTCATCTTTTCTGCCTTACTTAAGGGATACTTATTAAATTTGGGGGTGTCTTAGCTGATAGAAGACTGCAGAGTTTGGGGTAGCAGAACCAAGCGTGATTTAATTTTCTCCAAAGGGAACAAGAAGATGGTGGCAGTGAGAGAGGCAGACACACAGGCCTTGGCTGCAGACTCTGCGTTGCTTCCAGCCTCTCCTGTGGAGGCCCGTGCCTCCTGCTGCAGTCCCAGCATTTGTGAAGGAGAAGGAGATGGACCTAGGAGAATCAAGAGGACATATAGGCCCCGTTCCATTCAGAGGTCATGGTTTGGGCAGTTCCCATGGTTAGTCATTGACCCCAGAGAGACCAAACTCTTCTGCTCAGCCTGCAGAGAAAGACCTAATCTCCACGACAAATCATCTCGGTTAGTCAGAGGTTATACGGGGCCTTTTAAAGTGGAGACTTTAAAATACCATGAAGTCAGCAAAGCCCACAGGCTCTGTGTGAACACGGTTGAAATCAAGGAAGACACCCCTCACACTGCCCTCATTCCAGAGATCTCCAGCGACCTCATGGCCAACATGGAGCACTTTTTCAATGCCGCCTACTCCATCGCATACCACTCAAGGCCCCTGAATGACTTTGAGAAGATCCTGCAGCTCCTCCAAAGCACGGGGACCATGATATTAGGCAAGTACCGCAATCGCACAGCATGCACTCAGTTCATCAAGTACATCTCGGAGACCCTGAAGAGGGAGATCCTGGAGGACGTGCGGAACTCGCCCTGCGTGAGCGTGCTGCTGGACAGCTCCACCGACGCCTCCGAGCAGGCCTGCGTGGGGATTTACATCCGCTACTTTAAGCAGATGGAGGTGAAAGAGTCCTACATCACTCTGGCCCCTCTCTGCAGTGAGACAGCGGATGGCTACTTCGAGACCATCGTTTCTGCCCTGGATGAGCTGGACATCCCCTTCCGGAAGCCTGGCTGGGTGGTGGGGCTGGGAACGGATGGCTCAGCCATGTTGAGCTGCAGAGGAGGCCTTGTGGAAAAGTTCCAGGAGGTCATCCCGCAGCTGCTGCCTGTCCACTGTGTGGCCCACCGGCTGCACCTGGCTGTGGTGGATGCCTGCGGGAGCATCGATCTGGTGAAGAAGTGTGACCGGCACATCCGCACCGTCTTCAAGTTTTATCAGTCGTCAAACAAGAGGCTGAACGAGCTGCAGGAAGGTGCAGCGTCTCTGGAGCAGGAGATCATCCGCCTGAAGGATCTGAACGCAGTCCGCTGGGTGGCCAGCAGGAGGCGCACGCTGCACGCGCTGCTCGGAAGCTGGCCCGCCCTGGCCAGGCATCTCCAGAGCGTGGCGGAGGCTGGGGGCCAGATTGGGCACCGGGCCAAGGGGATGCTGAAGCTCATGCGCGGCTTCCACTTTGTCAAGTTCTGCCACTTCCTGTTGGACTTCCTGAGCATTTACAGGCCTCTGTCCGAGGTGTGCCAGAAGGAGATCGTGCTGATTACAGAGGTGAACGCCACGCTGGGCCGGGCCTATGTGGCACTGGAGAGCCTCCGTCACCAGGCGGGGCCCAAAGAGGAAGAATTCAACGCCAGCTTCAAGGATGGGCGGCTCCATGGCATCTGCTTGGACGGACTGGAGGTAGCGGAACAGCGGTTCCAGGCAGACAGGGAGAAGACGGTCCTGACCGGGATCGAGTACCTCCAGCAGAGGTTCGACGCAGACCGACCCCCACAGCTCAAGAACATGGAGGTGTTTGACACCATGGCCTGGCCAAGCGGGATCGAACTTGCCAGTTTTGGGAATGATGACATTCTCACCCTGGCTAGGTATTTCGAGTGCTCCCTCCCAACAGGATACAGTGAGGAAGCTCTGCTGGAGGAGTGGCTGGGCCTGAAAGCCATTGCCCAGCACCTTCCGTTCTCCATGCTCTGCAAAAACGCCCTGGCCCAGCACTGCCGCTTCCCCCTGCTGAGCAAGCTCATGGCCGTGGTGGTCTGTGTGCCCATCTCCACCTCCTGCTGTGAGCGGGGGTTCAAGGCCATGAACCGGATCAGGACCGATGAGAGGACCAAGCTCTCCAATGAGGTGCTCAACATGCTCATGATGACGGCTGTGAACGGCGTGGCCGTCACGGAGTACGACCCTCAGCCTGCCATCCAGCACTGGTTCCTGACCTCCTCAGGCCGGCGTTTCAGCCATGTCTACGCCTGTGCCCAGGTGCCAGCCCGCTCCCCTGCAAGTAAGTACCCGTGGCAGAGCTCCCCCAAGGCAGGGGAATCTTGCCCTCCAGCCCCATGCTGAGCCAGAGGCCAAGAAGACAGGACTGCAGGTGCCTGTGGAGCTTCTGTCATGCGCCCACCCATTTGCTAGGCCAGTGGGTACTCGATGCGTGACGTCCACCCTCCAGGACCTTGTGCCCCTGCCAGGGAGATGACACACATGTGCTCTAGGCAGCAGAGCTTAGTGCAGAGAGCATGCATTTATAGAGCCTGTCTGCCCTGGTGACAGTGCTGTGCTGGCTCTGCCCCCAACTGGCTGTGTGGCCTTGGGCAAGTTTATCCCCTTATGCCTTGGTTTCTTATCTGCCAAATGAGTGGTGCATGTAAAGCACTCAGGACAATGCCTGGCAGGTGGTGCACACGGCGCTAGTTAAAGGTCAGGACCACTGCTGGGAGTAAGGAGAGGGCTGACCAGCCCCAGGCAGCGCCATCACATTCTAAGTGGGGCTGATTGACTCTGCACTGGGCAGGAATTTTCAAGAGGGAAGAGGTCCACGTGGCTATGGAGGAGGTGAGATGCGGAGGAGATTGTGGGGCTTTCAGGCAGGAATCTCACAGGGCAGGGGAGAACAGAAACAGCCTCTCTGGACCGGAGGGCTAGGATCAGGGACTTGCTTGAGGGGGAAGCTGTATTAGAAGGAAGGGAAAGTTACTGAAAGCCACAGACAAGAAATGTTCTGTCTTCAGGTAGTCACTGAAAACCAAAGAAACTAGCCGGTTGTTGGGGTTCTGCAGACCATTCACAGTCACTTGACAAGGATGGAGCAGTGTTCTCTCTCCTGGCGTCTCTAGCTGGTCTCCTTCCAGCTGTTGCTGCTCCCAGTTTTCACCTCTGAGTTGGTGGTCATCAGAAATGGGACTGGGTCTCATGGTTGACAGAGGCTCTGTAGGAAGCAGGGTGGCCCTGAAGCCACAGTAGGGCCGGTGGGGAGAAGAAAAGAGACCCCTCACTGATAAGGAAAAGGGAGAACCGAGAGAGGGCTGGGTGAGCCCCTCACCCAGGCATATGTTGAGTGAGTTGCTCTGTGTCCAGCCCTGTGGGTGCTAAGGAGAAAAAAATGATTGTCAGGTGTGCCCTGGAGCAAGTTACTCTTTCCACAGGGAACATGAGACCAGCACAGATTGGTCCAAACACTACCAAACTACGCACTGATGCCTCCTTCCAGGCAGGGCTCTCAGCCTTGGCATTGTTGACACTGGTGCTGGGTAATCTTGGTTGGGGGGGTCCTCCTGTTCACTGTGGGAACTTGAGCAGCATCCCTGGCCTCTACATATTAGATACTGACTGGATACTGGTAGCACACCCCCCATTTGTGACAACAAAAATCATCTCCAGACATTAGCAAATGGTCCCTGGGGAACAAAATCACCCCCAGTTGAGATCCCCTGTCTTAGGATAAAATAATGAACAGAGCAGGAACAGATGCGGGCTGCAAAGAGCAGTCCCGGTCCTGTCTCCCGTCTGTCCCGCCAAGCTTTCCTCACCAAACAGCCCCTGGGCGAAGTTGGATGTGGAAGGCAGTCACTGTCGGTCAGTCTAATTGCCTTCTCCTTCCTCCCTCACAGGCGCCAGGCTCAGGAAGGAGGAGGTGGGAGCCCTTTATGTGGAGGAGTCTGGGAGCCAGAAGCCACCCATCGTGCCCTCCAAGGAAGCAGTGGAGGTTCTGAAGGACTGTATCATGGAGCCTCCTGAGAGACTCTTGTACCCCCACACCAGCCAGGAGGCCCCCGGGATGTCCTGAGGGACAGGGAGTCCTTGGGACTGCCTTGGAGACGCCTCTGGGATCACTGGGACAGGCTCTGCAGATTCTAGGCTGCCCTAGGATCTCCTGCTGGTGGTGATGGTCTCTAAGCACCAGGAAGTGGGCCGTGGCATCCTGGAGCAGCAGGGGTATTAGGAGGTGCATGACCTGTTTCCTGAGGCCCATTCAGCACAGCCATGCCTCACAGCACACAAATGTGCCAGAAGGTTCTATATCTCAAGTTCATTTTTAAGGTGCTCCAGAAAATAACCCCATCATGAAAGGTTTCAGCCCCTGAGTTCTGGTGGCAAGAGGACTGTCCTGGTGGGGGAGACTGTTGGACATCCCTGGGGAATGTTCCAGGGAGGCTGCCCACAGCCTAGTGAGAATGGGAAAGGCCACTTTGTTAGAGGGGAGGCTGACTCTGCTCTAGGGACAGCTGGCCTGGCTGCAGGAGCCCCCAGAGGCATTTTTTGGGGACTTCCTACCCTGGCTCCCGCAGCAGAAACAGTGAGGCCTCGATCTCGTACGGATCTGTACCTCTTCCCAGGGCTTACTTCAGGGCGAAACAATCCCAAGCCCTTTGCACAGAGCACCCAAGAAAGTTCTCTTCCTGCAGCTCCAGATGGTAGAGCTGGGGCTCTTCTGGCAGGGGGTCTGGTGCTTCCTGCAGAGCCGAGCCGCGTTTGACCTGTGGCACACCCGGCCCGGTTTCCTCAGGAGAGGATGGGACCAAGTTGGAGTTGGGAGGCTTGGGATGCAGCCCCAGCTCTGCTGCAGGCAGTGGTCTGATTAATCCCTTCCTCTTTTCTGTGCCTCAGTTTCCCTCTCCATGAAGTGGCAGCAGAGAATCCAAGTGCCTGCTGACTCCCCACCTGCCCTAGGATTAGTGAATGAGAGCCTCGGGCTCCCTGAAAGACCTGACTGCAGTGTGGACTTATCTGCCTTCCGCCCCATCCTCGTCCTTAGTGGGACAGGTAGGAATTTGTCTCCAAAGTCCTTGTTGTAGGAGTTGCTCTCTGAATGCACCATCTGCATGACAGGCTAGTCCACTCTTCTCCAAATTGCCCTGCAGACTCTGCACCAGGATCGCCAGGGCCCACTGAGACATCCCGGAATGGGGACTCAGTGACAAGGGCTTTGAACAAGCTCCTCCAGGGTCTGTGGGCCTGCTCCAGCTTCAGAACCACAGAAGCACCACCCGGAGGCACAGAGGGGCTTCCGGCACTGCTAGGTTCACACCCTCCTTGCCCATCTTCCACCTAAAGCGAAGCACTTTTCCTTCCGGGGCAGCTCCATCTTGGCAGGCTCAGGAGGCCGCTTATCAGGAGGGGGATGATTTTGTCTAGGTTCTGCCTTCCTTAACCATGGGCAGGAAATAAGGAAAGTCAGCATGCAGGGCTTCTCTGCCCTGCCTGACACTTGTTTTAAACAGGCAGGAAGTGGGTGCCATCCATCCCAGCTTGCTTGCTGCCTGGCTCAGGCAGGTCCTGTGCTGTGCCGCAGGCCCCTGTGGGTGGGCCCTTTCTCCATAGTCTGCTGCTTCCCATTCCCAGGGTAGATGCTGGCATCTGAGTACCTGAGTACCCTTCCTATTCCCAGGGTAGAAGCTGCTGTCTGAGTACCTTTCCCATTCCCAGGGTAGATGCTGGCGTCCAAGCCCCTCCCCAGTACTGCAGGTGCCCTAGTACCCCATATGCCCTTTCATCCCCCACCCCAGCACTTAGCCTCAACACTGTTGCTTTCCTGCCGTTTTCAGTTCTAGTCAGGAATTCCTTTCTTGCTTTCTGCCTTTGACCTGTGGAAATGTCTCCCAGCCGTGTGGGTCTGGCGATCAGAGGGACCCCTCAGGCCTGCGGTGTGGGAGCTCTGGGAGGTGTTACCATCCACGTGGCTAAGACATGCACAGGCCTCCCTCTCTCCATCACCGTCTCCATGGGCGTTCAGGAACTTGCCCAGGTCAGGCACTGTGGATGTGAACTGGTGGAAGGGGAGGGAGAAAGGCTTTTTTAGGTGGGGCTGTAGCCTCTGCCCTACCCACAGGGATTCCACATCAAGGTGCTGTTCCAGCACACACGCTTCCCGCGGCCTCTTCATCCTTGAAGAATCCCTCAGAGCAGGGGGCCATCCTGTGAGCAGCCGTGAGTGGGTCTCTGTGGGAGCAGTTCTGGAGCTGAGGTGGAAGCCAGGGGAAGCCCCTCGCCCTCTCCACGTCAGCATCAGTGTGCTCCGAGGACACCGTCCAGTGCCTTCCTTAGGTGGTGGGAAAAGCGGTCCCCTTGCAGCGGGGCCACTGAGAACACTACTCGATTTCTCAAGGGGCACAGGCCTGCTCCGTTCCCCTTTGTCAGCCAATGACCAAGAAGGAAGAAGATGACTGCCGTCTCATTCCTGAACTTCCTCATTCAGGACTCCCGTCGAAACACAGTGAGCGTCCTTATCCGAGGCCCCGGCCCAGGCCGGCCCCTTTGCTTTGTTTGGAGAGGCTGGCTGAGTTTCGGCCCCTAGTGCCCAGAGACCCCTTTATTGGAGAGGCTTCCTGTTTATGCCTCACAAGAAGAAAAACCACAGGGCTCTGGGAGTGGAAGGAGCATGCACTCCCGCTTTGGCTGGAGTCCCAGCGCTTGTCGCCACCTTCCTCCTTGCCTGTAGTCTTGACAGCATCCGTATGTACGTGTCCTGGCATTCCCCTCCCTCTCCCTGATGACTGATGCCCACCGGGTCTGACATTCCAAGTAACCAGTATGTAACTGGTAGTTTGATCCCAGTAGCCATAGCGACTCCAGGTGGGAGAGAGGGAGCCAGCCCCCTATTCTGGAAGATACCTTAGAGTATGTGACCACGCTCCAGAACCTTGCTTCTCTCTCCTGCAGAGGGTGGGTTTCTGAGGTGCTAAGTACCTATCAGAACAGCGTGGAGGGGCAGGTACACTAACTGGCCCTTGGATGTTCTCTCCTCCATTTTCAAAGATGAAAGGAGGTTTTAAAAACCATGTTTGATTCCTAACCTTTTGCTACCTGAATAAAGCAGAGTCTATTTCAACACATCTCTGTCTTGTGTGTCCCTAAGCAAGGACCAGGAGCTCGGAGAAGCGGACGGAAAGAGCTCTGCCCTCGCTCAAGAGGGGACAGGGCCAGGAACAGAGGTGGGCAGGGGAAGTGCCTGTGTGTTCACCTGATTTTTGTCTTTCAGTTTCTTTCCTCTCTAGTCCTTCATAGTGAGCTCAATCATTTTTGCCAGATAGAAGGTAGAGATGAGAGTTGGCTGTTTGGTGAGTTATAATTAAGGGCTTGGCTCCCTTTTCTGGAGTACTGTATAGTTTACAAAGTGCTTTCACATACATGATCTAATTTGGTTTACTGAAATTAAAAAGTTAGACTTTGAAGGAAAAAACATCGATTTCCACCAGTAGTAAAAGCTGCTGCATCAGACCTGTCACTCAACAGCGCTCCTTGAGGCCTAACTCCTGAGATCCCTCTGGCTAGCCCTTGCGGCTCCACATCCTCTGGCGGCATGCTCCCACGGGACTGCAGCAAAGGCTTCAGAGACTCGGGATACAGCCACGTCTCTTCGGTGAGGAGACTCAATCTTACTTGAGTGTATGTGATTTTTTAAAAAAGACATTAAAACAACTATCGAAGCAGAGGCACAGGCAGCAAGGCTTTGGGTTTGTGACTGGGAATCCATGCGGCCTCTATGCGGTGAAGACCTGACCCCGTGGTGGGGGTGAACAGGGTCTCCCTGACCCCTTCCCAGGGTTCCTTTGGGAAGATGGATTTCACTAGGGGAAGCGCAATGCTGGTAGCCTCCACGCTCAGGCTGGGCAGGGTAGGCTCCCAGGGAGGTAGCTCCCAGCGCAGCCTCTTCCATCACTCCAGCCGGAGCTAGAAGGAGAGAAGCGAGCTGAGGCTCTGGAAGGTGCTGCACTCCTGCCTTTCTTTTTCCCAAGGGTCCTCTTGACATCCGGAGTGCAGTCAGCAGGCCTTTCCAAGTGGGCTGGCTGCCTCAGATGCCTCAGCCCCTGTTGCTGGGGACGCTTCGGTGGGGCCTCCTCACTGTGGGCCTTCTCTTGGGTCAGTGTGATCCTCATGTCCCTTTCCCATGCCAGCGACACTCGTGGGCTTCATGTGGCTGGCCTCTGCTCCCAGGGCTCTGGAGATGCTGCCTCTGACTGCAGCTCCTGCCACACTGGCACCCGCGTGGCCACTGCTCCCCTCTACACCTGGGAATAGCTGCCCAGAGACTTCCTGTTTTGAACCTTTTGCCTTGCTCAGGCAGCCAGCAAGTGCCCTGGCACTCACAGCAACAGAAGGGCCCTGCAGTGCTGCGGTTGTGCTGGTGAGCCCAGAGAAGCTGAGAGGCACAGACACACTGGGCACACTCCAGACAGGCGCAGGCCTCTGGGTAGTGACAGTTTGCAAGTGTTCCGTGGTCCTGGGCCCTGCACAGGCTTCTTGGCAGCCAAGAGAGGCTGTGTCTGCATTTAATGTGCACACCTGAAAAAGCGGCCCCTCACCGCCTAGGCAGTGTCCTCCCACATCCCCAGGAGGGTCTTCCTGTGCCATCTGAAGTCCACTTAGTGGGAAGCCTTTGCCACACTAGGACACTTTCAGGGCTACTCCCCTACATGGATGTGCTCATGGATGGCCAGGGCTGTATGGCTCTTGAAGCTCTCCACACACTTGGCACAGACGGATGGCTTTTCCAGTGGAATCTAAAGGACTTGGGCATTCTCAGAGGCCAGTCTGGCCTTGGGGTTTTCCAGCTTCCCAGAAGCCTGCAGAATCATTCTGGGAGGTTCCCAGTTGCCTCCAGAATCATCTTCAGTCTCGTTTCTGACATTGTTACCAAATTCTGTGGAAGAGAACTCAGATGTTAGCTTAGTGATGGGGACACACTCCTTTTGTTCGGTGTGACCTGCTCAGCCCCCAGCCCCAACGAGATGACAGCTAAGGGCAGCGTCCTGTGGATGCCGCAGCCAGGGCCAAGTGTGGGTCAGCATCCCAACTCAGAGGAGTGGCCCAGTTGGTCTGAGAACACTGAAGTCCCAGAGCCCTGGGTAGGGACTTCCGACCAGCATTCTTCCTGCTCTCATTCCAACACATGTGAAGGGAATGTCCCGGTCCAGGGAGCCAGGGTTCTCTTGCTGCCATCTGAATAATTCCCTGCAGCAGCCACTGCTGGACAGCAAGCTTGGCAAGCCTTCTTATGCAGAAATCAAAGTCATTTTTATAAAAAGTATCACAGAGTCCCTTATGAAGAGAGCTGGACAGAGCAGGAGCCAACCCTTCCCTGACTGCCCAGTTCAGTGAGCCAGGTTAAATATCTGCCGTCAGCAGCCTGCCATGAGGTACAGTGAGGACCTTCTACTTCATCCCTGCAAGCTGGGTTGTGTCATAAAATGCATACTTTATTTTCCTTCTTCCTGTAGAGAATCAGAAAGCACATGATGGAGGTTTCAGAAAAGGGCTTGTGAGATTGAGCATGTCAGAGCTGAAGATCTGTGGCTGTGAGACATGTCCTCCTGAAAGAGCACACGTGAGCTCACACAGCCACGGCACCGGATTACCCTCACCCAGATTGTCCCCTCAGTGTAGCTTGTCTCCAGAGGTTTACACTGTGGCCGTGTTTCTCACAGGTTACCCAAGCTCCTGTCCTAACGGCGGGAAACAGAGAAGTACAAAACCTGAATCCAAACCACAGAAGTGCTAGAACCCAGGAGGCACTAAAGGCTCAATGGATATGGTTACCTTTGTGCCAGAAATGTTCCATCAAGACTTACCTGGCTGAGTGGTAGCTTTTTGGCCTCTGTTGGGGGCTGGGAATTCTTCACCCAAAGCTCACGTTCCCTTTCAAGTCTACAAGTGATCTCTGGTTTGGTAGCAGCATGCACCGTAGGGAGAAAGACAGCCGAGCGCCCCTTAACCCACACTGAGCACACATAGACCCATGTCAGTCCTGAAGCCTGACTTGTACCACCCGTTTAATGCCTGGGCTCACCCCATCTATTTGGGACAGTGAGGGTAGGTTGTAAACCTAAGAAAGCTCCAGAAACAGGCAGGGCCTGGCATACAGGTAGGAATGTTTATTTCAGGGCAATAACAGGAGTGCCAAGGGCTGATAAAACAGTGCAATTGTCATGTTTTCCCACTGCCAGGGGCCCTTGAAGGAAAAACAGGCTCAACCAGTCACAGAGACAACCATGCTCTAGGTAAGTTCTCCCTGACCCCACAGGCCAAGAGTGCCCCATTAGATGGCAAGCAAGCAAGGGGCCAAGGTCCTCACCCAGCAAGACTCCCAGCTCCTAATTCCTTCTTGTCACATCCTGGTACAATTCCTTCTTCTACTCATGGCCACCAGAACAATGGGTGGGAGATAGGTGGTCACATCCTTAAATGTCACAGGCCTTACTTGCAAAGACCTGAGCACAAGCCCTAGGTGTGAGCTGAGAGTGTGGAGGAGACACTAGAGTAGGAAGGAGAAGCCTTGGCCATGTGTTCTGGCTCTTTTACTGATGAGCTGTGTGGGCCTAGGCAAGTTACTTCACTTCTCTGGGCCTCAGTTTTATCACCTGTAAAGCGATAGGATTGCCTCAGAGAGCCTCTAAGATCCCTTTCAGCTAAAAACAAAGTTCTAGAAAAAAAATACGTGGTACTGTGGAACTCCGGGGAACTGTTTAATCAGGTGAACACTTTACCCATGGAAATGGGGCTCCGGCACAAAGCTGCTCACATCTTCTAGTCACGCTCCAGGGAACAGCAAGAGCTTGCGGGCCCAGATGAGGCTTTAGTGGTTGGAAAAGGAGCCAGTTCCTGGTTTGAATCCCTTCATGGACCTCAGACTATCACAAAGCTGCCAAACAAATGACACATGCAATCACATGCAAATTAGGACAGAAATGAAACATCAAAAACATTAAAGGAAAAGAGAGCTACAGGCTGCTAACATGAGTGGCTGCTCAGACTCAGTACTGTTTTTGCTTCTGGCCAAAGCCAAGACAAAGGAGCAGAGGCAAGAAAGGAAATACACTGCACTCTACAGCTGTCATTTTATACAGAGGATTTTTTTTTTTCCCAGAACAAAATTTTTTAAAAGTCCATCTTTTTTGAGCTACGGAACTTTCGTGGTGCCTTTTTTTTTTTTTTTTTTTTTTTTGAGATGGAGTCTCGCTCTGTCTCCCAGGCTGGAGTGCAGTGGCGCCATCTCGGCTCACTGCAAGCTCCGCCTCCCGGGTTCACGCCATTCTCCTGCCTCAGCTTCCAGAGTAGCTGGGACTACCGGCGCCCGCCACCACGCCCGGCTAAATTTTTTGTATTTTTAGTGGAGACAGGGTTTCACTATGTCAGCCAGGATGGTCTTGATCTCCTGACCTCGTGATCCGCCCGCCTGGGCCTCCCAAAGTTCTGGGATTACAGGCGTGAGCCACTGCACCCGGCCCTCATGGTGATTTTTTGAAGGCCTCAATCGACAGCCTCTTAACTCTATCTCCTGGATGCCAAGTGCACCCTTATCCTAGGCCAGTGTTCTCAACAATGCACACACTCTGGATGAGAAAAATAACCATTGTTTACAATCTAGCTAAAATCTCACCTCCTCTAGGGAGTCTTCCTGGATTTCTCCACCCTCTGAATTCTCATAATGGGCATTTGGCTACCTTGATCACAGGGCTCTTAGAACTGTGCTGGCCAGCATTATGATTTTACCAGAATATGTCACTCCTCAACTACTTTAGAAACCCCTCAAAGGCTAAGATGGTATTTTATACCTAACAGTTTGGTGTCACCCCACACCCACCTCCAACATGCATGAATTGAAAGGATGGATAGTGAGGTTTCAACTAGGGAACAGAGAAGGGCGGATGTGACTGGTTCTTGCTTTCGGAAAACCGCCAGGAGCACACATCGCTGATGGGGTCAGTGCAAGGACAGGCACATTTCCCTTCCGCATCAAGTGGGGACTGCGCCTCCCCATGTCCTGAAGCCAGGGAATATGTGTGGCCGGCTGCTTAGGGTAGCACTTGTTGCTAGAGATAGCGCCTGGAGGCCACTGATCTGTAAAAGGGATCTCTACAGAAGATGGGGATTTTTGATTGCCACAGAAGGGATATGTGAGATCCAAACGCCCAAGGAGGAAAGCAGGCTCTGGAAGTCTCTTCCAGCCCTGATGGAACAAACTACCGAGCCTTATTATGCTAGGTGTTTTCCACATGCCTATTCATTTAATCCTCCAGGAACCTTGTAAGAACGGCCATCCCATTTTATATTTAAACAAACTGTAGCTACCGACGCAAGGAGTCAGGGATCTAATCCCAAAGCCTCTGCCGGGTTCGCTACAGATGGATGTCCGCGAGGATGCCAGCCCTCCGCCTCCCGCCAGGTCTCTGAACGCCGGCCCGGCAGGTCCAACCTCATCCCGCTCCCCGCCACCGAGACGCTAAGCCCCCGCCTTCCCCCAAACGTCTCTGCGCCGCTGGCGCCTTTCTGGCTCCACCGCCTCGGACCCCAGGCCCTGGTCCCCGCCCGCCGCTCCGCTTGTCCTGGGAGTGAGGAGAACGCGTGCCGAGGACCCGGCCAGAGGGACCGCGGGCACCACCCTCCCGCCGCGTCTCTGGGGGCGAGGCCATTCCTCCCGCGTGAGACCCCCGCAGGGCCGTCAGGTCCGGGGCGGCCCAGGCTGCGGGTCCGCAGGGCGCTTCGGGCCGAGCCAGGGGGGCGCGTACGGGCAGAGAACGCCCCGAAAGACCGCTGGGGTGGGATCCCAAGCTCCAGGGGCCTTCGGAAATAAGAACGCGGCGTGACGTTGGCTGTGCGGGCTCGGGGCCGACGCTGACCCTACAACCCCATCGCCGCACCCGGACGGCCGCACCCCCTCTACCTCGGCGTTTCTCTCGGTCCGCTCAGCCAATCAGCGAGTGGGCTCCTAGGCAGGTCTTGAGTGACAGCGCGGCGGGCTGGATCAGGAGGTGCGCGTGCGCGGCCCGGCCCGGCAGATCGTTTCGGGCGCTCGACTCCTGTTGCGCATGCTCAGCGCGCTGCCCGGCCGGGGACCCGCGCATCTGCAGCGCCCGCTGCTCGGCCCTGCATCCCACCTGGGCATCCTGCGCCCGGCCATGACGGCGCACTCATTCGCCCTCCCGGTCATCATCTTCACCACGTTCTGGGGCCTCATCGGCATCGCCGGGCCCTGGTTCGTGCCGAAGGGACCCAACCGCGGGTAAGGAAGGCACGCAGGCCCTGCAGACCTCTCCACCCCGGCCCCCTGGCCGGGCTCTCCCCTCCGCCCCGGGGCGGCGGCTTCCTGCCTGGCAGCGAGCGTCCGCAGGAGGGACGCCAGGAACCCGGACGCCACCTCTGAGGTCTCTCTGCACCTGGGTCTCTGACAGCCGGGAACAGGCAGGAGGTGGGGAGAGAGGGCATATACAGATGGTAAAGAGAAGAGTGACATTGGAGATGGCTGTCATCCCTCCTGCAGCCAGTAAAGGTCACAGGTGGCACTGACGCAGTTCTCCACTCCTTGCTAGCTGTGTGACCTGGAGCCAATATCAAGTCTCAGTGTCTTCATGGGTAAAATGGAGATAATGTCGACTCCTGCCTTAAAAGGCTGCTGTGAGGATGACCTGTGGTAACGCGTTTAAAACCCCTCGAGTGCATGGCACTTTGTAGGTATGGGATAAGTTTCGCTGGCGTTATTTTTCGAAGGTCCTCTAGCAGATTGCTGCGCCATTCACCAGTTTCTGCTTCATATTATCCTCAGTTGCAAAGCACCCTTCCCTTGACTACATGTGCCCAGAGGCTGGAGTTTGTCCAATTCACCATTGTCTACCCAGGGCCCAGCCAGGACTGGCACAACCTGCCTAGTAATGTTGAAAAAGGGATCCAGTGCTCCTGTCTCCGGCACCAGCTTGCAGTGCTTTACATCAAAGATCAAGGGCCTGGTTTGGATTAGAGTTAGCTTTGCCCAAAGGCCCTTTGGACTTGTGAGTGCTGCCTTTGTTCTTAAAGACAAGCAAGGCTTGGGATCCCACAGCTTCACTTTGTAAACCATTTTCATGTCTTGCATCTCCTGCTAATCTTGGTGAGTTCTTGCTTCAGTTTGACTGAAATTTCTCTGGCTGCACTTGAAGCTTCTGTCTCTGGTCTTCTTTGAGTACACACAAAGTGGCTAGTCCCTGTTCTCTTTGTAACAAGTCACCGGGCCTCAGAAGTGGCTCACAGTCCGCCTGCTTCTTGTCCTGTCTTCTAGCCTATTGTTTTCCTTCCCCTTGCTCCATGAATTTTGAATTCCACAGACCAGTCCGTGGTGGGTTTCCACAAATGCAGCTCTGCGCCCTGCCTTTCCGCGACACATGTGCATTAAGATGGAGAAATACTGGGTGGTAGAGAAGGGAGATGAAGGGAAGGATTCTTAAGGCAATGTGGATGTGGTCAGGGTTGGCCTCTCTGTGAGGTGACACTTTCAGTTTTTATTTTCTGGCTTGCTATTCCTACCCTGAGTAGAACTCAGCCTCCTGTGTCCAGGAGGCATCAGGAAGGCCAATGGAAAAGAGCTGACACCGGGAGCTCTTCTTGCTCTGGTCCTGGCCAGGCGTTGTGAGGTGCTGGCTGCATCTGTCCTGACCCGTGTCCTCTTCTGCTGCAGGGTGATCATCACCATGCTGGTCGCCACCGCCGTCTGCTGTTACCTCTTGTAAGTACTACTCTCCCCAGCTCAAAATCAGCCAGTTCCTTTGTCCTCCCTCCTTTCTTCTTCACCCTAGCCTGCTCTTCCTTCTGTCCTGGTAGTAAATGCCTTTTGAAAGGCTGAACCTATAAACAACAGGAGTGGAGGTGGTGTGGAATGGGAAATAGAGCAGTGGGCCGGAAGTCATGAACCCTGGGCTCTGGATCTGGCCTGCCCCAGTGTTCTGGCCCCGTGGGCTGTAGTTTTCTCACCTGGGCAAGGAAGGAGTCGGGCCATGTCAGTGCTGTCTGTGCCTGACTGGGTCACCTGGAGTGATTGTTCAAACACAGTTTTCAGGCTGCACCCTAGAGTCATGAAATTACAACTCTCGAGATCTGCACTTGGGAATTTCTGTTGTTCATGAATGCCCCCAGGTGACTGGAATGCAGCCATCTTAGAACCACTAGGTGAGAAGCCAGGCACGGTGGCTCACGCCTGTAATCCCAGCACTTTGGGAGGCTGAGGAGGGTGGATCACAAGGTCAGGAGTTCGAGACCAGCCTGGCCAACATAGTGTAACCCCATCTCTACTGAAAATACAAAAATTAACCAGGCCTGGTGGCGCATGCCTGTAGTCCCAGCTATTCAGGAGGCTGAGGCAGGAGAATCGCTTGAACCTGGGAGGTGGAGGTTGTGGTGAGCCAAGATCATACCACTGCACTCCAGCCTGGGCAACAGAGTGAGAATCCAACTCTAAAAAAAGAACCAGTAGGTGAGAGTAAGTCTTCAAACTTGGGATAGGTACCCTGGGGATATAGAAGAACATTCCCAGGGACTCGAGTACCTGGAAGTGTGAGGGAATCAGTTTCCAGATCCTCAGTGTCCATTGTTTGATCTGTTGCCAAAACTGCCATTCACAATAGCCAATCCCTCTTTATTAAATTTTTTAAAAAAGGAAAAAGAAAAAGACCCTGCCCCCGCATCCATCCCAATCCTGCTGTTACATTGCTCCGTATTTAGACGATCCTGGCTGCCAACCAAGAGATGAGTTCAAGTTCTAGTTTGCGGGGAGGCCTGTCTCATGGTTAATCGAGCTGCATTAAGGCTGTTGGGCTTCCCATCTTCCTATGTCTTGTACATTATTTTTATGGGTTAAGCTTGGCATAGTTGGGTGTTCTTAACTCAGAACAATTGAAACAGGACAGGTAAAGTGATGAGATGCTGACTCTTTAAGAGGTAACAGATTCTTTTGAAAGCAACTGGAATATTTTCCAAGGTTGCCAAATATTTCAAATACATAAGACAAAACCCACTTTCAAAATATTTACTTGATTGATTTCTGATTTGATGTATGTTAATAGTTAAAACTGTTTTATCTGATTAGATCATGGATTCTTTATTCCTATTAATAATTCTCTTATTTTACCTTATGTTTTATTGATTGATTGATTGAAATGGGGTCTTGTCAAGACCCCTGGTCTTGAGACCAGGCCAGTATGGTCTCAAACTCCTGGGCTCAAATGATCCTTCTGCCTCAGCCTCCCCAACGAGCTGGGATGACACCACTGCACCTGGCTGTTAACTAATTAGTTAATTGACATGGTCTTACTCTGTTGCCCAGGCTAGAGTGCAGTGGTGGGATCATAGCTCACTGCAGCCTCAACCTTCTGGGCTCAAGCCATCCTCCCACCTCAGCCTAGCTTTGACCACAGGCGTGTGCCACCACGCCTTGCTGATTTTTAAATTTTCTGTAGGGACAGGGTCTTGCCATGTGGCTAAGGCTGTGCTTGAACTCCTTGGCTTAAGCGATCCTTCCACCTCAGCCTCCTGAGTAGCTAGGATTACAGGCACATGCCACTGCACCCAGAAATGTATAAGCCCTCCTACTGACAAAAACTAAACTTGTTAGAAATAATGATGACTCTTAACACGTGGTTTAACTTAAACTCACTTTTTTTTTTTTTTCAAAATTCTTCCTAGACAGAGCATCTCTAAGGCCCTTTCTCTTAATGCTATTTCTAGGTCCTTCAGGGCTCGACAAAAGATTCTCACCTGCCCATGGCAGGGCCTCAGAGGAGCTTGGGTTTGGTAGCTGGGCGGGTGGGGGAGACGGAGTCTACACAAGATGTGGGGTAATCCCAAATACTGACCGAATCAACATACGGGAAACAGAAAACACACTGCAAATTGGATGCATAGAGGTAGAAAGGTGGGGCCGTTCTAAGAAAATGTTATACCTAGAAATTATATTTACAAAACATAAACTCAGAGAGAATGCTGATGTAAAGGAGGTAACAATTTCTGATGGCTTCCTGGGCGTTAGGTCCTCCTACCTACGGTGAGGGATTCATAGAGGAACAATATCGATCCTTCCTGCAGAAACAGACAAAGCAGTGTGGATGGTCATGGGGGGCAGAGCATGGGGACCTACTAACTACTGTGGCAATGAAGGTGGGAGCTTTGTCACGAATGACGGGCCAGACAGCCACCCAGACGTCCAACAGTGATGACAGGTGGGACCAGGTCCCTGAGGGTTTTCTGGCCTGAACAGCGGTGGCCTGGCAGCAGCCTAGGCAGGAGGCCCCGGACCCGTCAGCTCCTCACGTCTTGGGGTAGTTCCTTCTCTCTCCTAAGAGGAGATGATTCTGATGTGCTGCCCGCCAGGCCCACCCTGTTTGCTCCCTGGTGCGTGGAGCCTGGGGAGCCTGGACAGAAATGTCTGAGGCACAGCTGGGAGTCACTCCCAAAGTGCCCCTGAGGCTGCCTCCCCTCTTCCCTAACCCCAGGTTCAGCCCCAACTCGGGGATCCTTCAGATCTACCGAACATCAAATGAAACCAAAACCAAACCCACAAATGCCATACCAACCCCATGCACGTGCGGGAGTGTGGATGGCGCCCTGGGCCCTTCACCCTGGGAACACAGGCCCTGCCATCTGCTGGGTTGGCCGCATCCAAAAGAATGTGACCGAGGCCTCCCCTGTGGGTGTGGGAGGACCCTCCTGTGCCAGGCTCACCACGCTTTGCTGTCCCTGGCAGCTGGCTCATCGCCATCCTGGCACAGCTAAACCCCCTGTTCGGGCCCCAGCTGAAGAATGAGACCATCTGGTACGTGCGCTTCCTGTGGGAGTGACCTGCCTGCCTGACCCAGGTACTGTGTGGACGAGGGGTGGGGCAGGTACCATGTGGGTGAGGGGTGTGGGTGAGAGTGACCTGCTGCCCTGACCCAGGTACTGTGCGGGCGGGCAGTGTGGGTGGGGAAGAGGGGAAAGAAAAG